GTCCGGGCTGTGCAGGGCTGCCCTGCTGGGGGGACTGGGGATGGCTTTGGGATGTCGAGGAACTCGAGTGGCTGCCTGAGGGGCTTGCCAGGCTGGCCTGGCTCCTCCAAGTGCAGCGAGGATGTATTCATAGCTCGGTGGGGAGGAGCTGTGCCAGGAGCCTTCACTTTGCCCAGGAAACAAGGGAAAAGGGGCAGTTCTGCCGGCTTCCAGTCCATCCTTTGCCGAGCTGGTTGTTTGTCTGCAGCAGCCCCAGCGATGGGGTGAGGCTGGGGGGCTGGGAGCCCATCCTGACCCACCAGCTGGGTTCTGGAGTTGTCAAGTCAAGGCATCCCAGTGGGATGGGGTTTATCTCCCGTTTGGGGGCACCTTCAAGTAAGCCAACACTTCCCAGCTCAGCAAAGCAGGATAGGCACTTCCCAGCACCTCCCTTCTCCTTTTGGGGCCACCCAAAGGCACCGGCACCAGCTGGGGGTGAGGTGGGGGGAGTGGGGAGAAACTCTGGAGATCTGGTCAGCTCTTCCCACCCTGCTAAGCCCCATGAAGATCCCTCTCCTCTTCCCATGCAGGGTGCTGCCCACCCCGGTCCCCACCGCTTTTCTGCCGCCGCCGGGTACCCTGTACCCTGGTCCCTCTGGGGTGGAGGCACTGGTGAGTGCCCAGGCAGTCTCGGCCGGCAGTCGCTTGGCCCGGGCAGACCTGGTCCTGCGGGAAAACGAGCGGCTCCAACGGGAGAGTGAGAGGCTGCGGAGGGAGCTGGAGAGCTGCTCCGAGAAAGCCAGCCGCATCCAGAAGGTGGGAGTGTGTGTGTGTGTGTGTCACACTGTGCCTGAGTGTGTCACATTGTGTGTGCCCCTGCCACACTGTGTGTGTGTCACACTGTGCCTGAGTGTGTCACATTGTGTGTGCCCCTGCCACACTGTGTGTGTGTCACACTGTGCCTGAGTGTGTCACATTGTGTGTGCCCCTGCCACACTGTGTGTGTGTCACACTGTGCCTGAGTGTGTCACATTGTGTGTGCCCCTGCCACACTGTGTGTGTGTCACACTGTGCCTGAGTGTGTCACATTGTGTGTGCCCCTGCCACACTGTGTGTGTGTCTGTGTGTGTCCCACTGTGTCTGAGTGTGTCACATTGTGTGTGTGTGCCACATTGTGTGTGTCCCTGCCACATTGTGTCTGTGTGTATCATGTTGTGTGTGTGTCCCTGCCACATTGTGTGTCTGTGTGTGTGTCACACTGTGCCGGCGTGTTGTCCCTGCCACATTGTGTGTGTGTCTGTGTGTGCCACACTGTGTGTGTCCCACTGTGTCTGAGTGTGTCACATTGTGTGTGTCCCTGCCACACTGTGTCTGTCTGTGTCACATTGTGTGTGTCCCTGCCACATTGTGTGTGTGTCTGTGTGTGTGTCCCACTGTGTCTGAGTGTGTCACATTGTGTGTGTGTGCCACATTGTGTGTGTCCCTGCCACACTGTGTCTGTCTGTGTCACATTGTGTGTGTCCCTGCCACATTGTGTGTGTGTCTGTGTGTGCCACACTGTGTGTGTCCCACTGTGTCTGAGTGTGCCACATTGTGTGTGTCCCTGCCACACTGTGTCTGAGTGTGTCCCACTGTGTGTGTCCCTGCCACATTGTGTGTGTCCCCTCCCAGCCCCAGGCCCTGAAGGAGGAGGGGGGTGATGGCGGTGGAGGAGAAGAGGGGAGGGGGATGCTCAACCAGCTGCTGTGAAAATCCACCCCCCCCTCCCCTTTCTTGAGCGTTTTAATCCCTTCTCCCCCTCCTTTCCCCCTCCCAGCAGCTGCGTTTTGGCGGCGCAGATGCCGGGCTGGGGGGAGAAGGAGCCTGTTCTCTGGTGACCCCCTCCTTTCTGCCCATCCCACCCCCCCAAGCCCCGGCCACCACAGAAAGCTCTTTGTGCGGCTGCGTGCACACAAGGGGCGGCTGTTCCCTGCCAGCCGGGCTGTGCTGGAGCCAAAACCTGCACCAGTTTCTCTTCTGCGAGGAGAAAAGCAGGAAAAAAATATCAGTTCCCCCCAAAAACATCCACTAGGGGCCGGGGGGGAGGGTTTCATGGGTGTGCTTGGGCTAGGCTGAGCCACCCAGGTGAGTTTTGGAGAACATCTCCCTCTCCTTTTCCTCATTCCATGAATATCTGACCCGGGCCTGTCCCTTCCTCCTCCCCAGCTGGAGAGTGAGATCCAGCGCCTCTCGGAGGATTATGAAAACCTGGTCAAGGCGTCTTCCAAGCGGGAAGCCTTGGAGAAAGCCATGAGGAACAAGAGAGAGGGGGAGATGAGGCGGCTCCAGGATTTCAACCGGGATCTGAAAGGTGAGGGACCCTCCGTGTCCTCATCCCTGTGGGCTCTTTCCATTCCCTGGCTTTCCCTCCCATGGGCTCTTTCCATTCCCTGTTTCCCCCCCATGGGTTCTCTCCATTCCCTGACTTTCCCCACCACCACCCCCCGGGTGTTCCTGCCCTGCTCCTGCTTCCACAAGTCCAAATCCTGCCTTGAAAACTGAATTGTCTTTCATTGCCTTTTTGGCCCAGAACGGTTGGAATCTGCCAACAAGCAGCTGGCCAGCAAGAGCCAGGAAAACCAGGAGAGCAACCAGGGCAGTGTGGCCAAACTCCTGGCACAGAGTAAGTCCCTGGGGGTGCCTGTCCTTACCCGGCTCCTGGGAGTGGGATGGTGGGGCTGGAGGAGGAGGAGGGTGGCAGCTCTCAGCCTTCCCCAGGGAGGCTGGAGCAGCTCTCGGTGCTGGACTCGAGCCATTAATCCCTGCCGGCCGGCGGCGTGACCCGCCTTCCCCACCTTCCCTCCGCGG